TTTTTTTTTTTTTTTTTTTTAAACCTGGCTCCAGAACCTACGTCTTCCATCATCAGGTGCCTGTCATTAAAGGGAATTCATTTTATTACTCACTGCTCATGTCTTTTTAAATTGTCAACAGTCGGGGCTTCGTTAGAAATGACAATATTTGGGCAGGTAGGGTTTTATGGAAGAGTGGAAAGGAGACATGAATGAAGGAGGAAAGAAGATATCTCCTTCAAATAGAATGAGCCCATTCTGTCACTGAGAGGGCACTTCCATTTGACAGCATTGCTGAACTTGTCCCCACATCACAGGTTTCATGAGGGAAACAGATAACCTTACTTGCAAAAAATAATTGTTTTTTTAGATTGGCTTTCAGAAAAGTAAAAATAAGGCATGACTTTCTTTTTAAAGTTAGTATTAGTCTATTTATTATTTATCTCCTTTTTATAAAATAATTACTTTTAAATACCCCTGCTAATATTTCAGGATGTTATTCACTTATGTAGAGGTAGTTGTGTTCCCATTTTGCTTCTGTTCCATTTCCTAGTGTTATTCATGTGTGAAGAGAATCTTTTTGGCCGGGGTGGTCTGCCTCAAATCTACTCCAAAGTTATAATTCACCAAAAGTGACATCATCCTAGCCAACACCAAAGAATTATGGTTGGAGTTGAGGCATTGCACATGGAACACATAACTCTGCAGTGGTTTCTCCTACGAAATGTCAGCCAATCTTATGATGGAATGTGCCCTTGCCTGCTGTGGGCACCACTCAAATCTAACCCATCATTTTTCTTTTCATTTTGATTCACTTTTCCTTTCAGAGATTCAAGTGAAAAGAAAAATGGGAACTGAAAAAATTTGGTGTTTTTGAGGGTTGAGGGAGAGACCTTCTGGTAGAAAGTAAAGTGTTTTGTTTTGATATCTGAAATTTTATATGCTCAATTTAAATATGTTTTATTGCATTTGTTTTTTCCAACCTGTGGAAACCACTTAAATTCCTATTGAATGCATAGATCTTTTATTTGCATGAATGTCCTGTATGCTGGAAACTAAGTGGGAGCTCTGAATGCTTAGAAGTTCTGTGCCTGTGAGACTTGGGTATTTTAATACATTTGTTGCCCTATTGCTTCAAATTAGGCATAGGGGATGCATTCAGTAAAGACTGTCTCCCTCCCTGCTTAGCTGCCCCGGGACTCCCTTCTGGAGGGCCAGAGTTTCTACTTTGTTTCTATTTTGACTCCTAAAGTGAGGACTGAAGGGAAAGCAGATGGCGTTTTGTACTTCTGACAATGAAGCCTAAATTGTTTATGTTGGAGAGGGAGCAAGAGATAAACCAAAGAATGTGATTTGTCTTCCCTGTGAAGATACCAGGGAAAATTTGAAGATACCAGGGAAAAGTAGCAGACCACCAGTGTCTGGTGTAGAGGAGATAATTTCTGTGGATAGAGAGCAAAACCAGCCAGGCAAACGAACCCGTAAGCCACCTGAGGGACAGACAGGCATACAACCTAATGAATAGGTAGTTAGACTTTGGGCAAGGCTAATTGCAGCAAGCTATGTTAGTTCCCCAGCCTCTGTAAGTAGTCGTTTTTATACAATCTGTCAGAGGGAGGAGAAAATAGACCCACACAGTAAATGGACTTTTGGTGTTTAGCTAGGAAGTGGAGTTTGCTCTAAGTCGCTCTGGTAGCAGTCTCCAGGGAGCACATGGCAGGCGGACTCATCTGAGTATCTGTGCTGAGGAGTTGTATTAAACTGTTGAAACACTTTGAAATTGCTTTAGAAAAAGAGTACTCCCAAAGTTGCCAGCTAATACGGTATCGAATTTCCTGAAAGACCTTTCTTTTGCCGTGTGGTTTTTCTATAAAGCTGAGTCAATTAGGCTTCTTTACCTCCTTATCCTTGGTGGCAATAAAACGACAAGAGCTGAGGATTGAGGGTTGAGCATGTAGACGCTATTATCTCATTGGATGTTTACCACTGCCCTATGAGGTGGCTATTGTTACTCTCCGCATTCTATAGATGAGCACACTGAGCCACAGATTGGTTGAGTAACTTGCTCAGGCTCACACAACCAGCAGGTGATACAGCTGAGGTGAAAGAGCATTTTTTCTGGAAAGATTCAGGGTGTTTAAATGTACCTGTTTAGTGCACAGCAAGTTGTAGTACTTTTAAATTGGAGACTGGAATATATAAGTAGATGTTTGAATCTCTCTGTGTCTCTCAGAGTTACGGGTGAATCAACAAAATTAGAATGTTTTTCTATTTAGTGACTGAAGAAGGCTGTCCATGCATGTATCAGGTCTAGTTTGGAGTCACAGACTAGATTCTGAACCAGAGAAGACACATAAGCTTTGGTTACCTTTCTTTGATTAAATGTAGTTTTAACAATAATGACTTGACTATATTTCAGGGAGTCTTCATAGTCTTCCGCATGGGTATTTCTAGACAATAATGCTAAAGAGGAGAGTGCCAGTACAAGTGAAATTATAACATGATTGCAGTGTTATGGCTTTTGTTGATGAATTATTTGAACTGGGAAGAAAAACACTTTGAGAACTAAATTTAAAGTAATTCTTCCGATATTATCAGTAAGACCTAAAGGTAGTTGCTTTTAGAGGACCTAAATGTATTAAATTCCTGATTTAGCATGCTTGTACCAAGTCTTCAAATATGTTAAATTCTGTCAGCTTCTTGAGCTTCTTAAGGAGAGTCATAGAATCATAGGGAATTAAAATAAATGTTAGAAATCTGTATCTCTTCTTACTTGACTGGATCACATCTAGAGCAACCCAAATGAAAATGTGCCCTGTTTTAAAGATCTCCAGGGAAAAATATTCTAAAACTTCCCCCAATAATTTATTCCAATGCATAGTAACCCTGAGACTTAATATTTAGAAATTGGTTTCTTATATATGGATGAAAGGAACTCTAAGAAGGTATACATTACATAAAAGACCTTTTATACAGGGAAAAAAAAGTACTTAGATGAAAAAACTTCTCAATTATGGAGGTACAATACCTAAAATTAAAAATAAAACGAAGTGCATTTTCCACCTAAGATTTTTTCATCAACCCCTAGAACCACTGCTGGAAATTACCTCATGAAGAAATCTTACCTAGCTCTGTATCTTTTGGAAATGTTTTACTTAATTTTAGAAAGAGGGGAAAAGAACAGTAACATCACATACACACACACACACACACACACACGACACGAACACAGACACACACTGTAGTTTCCTAAGCAGTTTGTTCTAATTCTTCACATTCCCCCTGTCAAAATGTTTGCTTATAACTTTCTTTGTATTGTCATTTAAGCCCATTTCTAATTGGTGATTGTTGGAAATTGAATAAATGTGTTCAATTTTTCATAATGTATGTCGTTGTATGGTTAATTATTAAATCGCTCTGAAGTATATAGACTATTATTTTTGTTACCATTTAATAGCTATTTTTTCTTAGAAAGGGTATAGAAAAAATTGGAAGAATGCTCTGGACTGTAACATCTGCTTACTGAGATTCTTTTAAAAAAATTTACTAACTCATCTGGTATCATCACTAAAATTATTTATAATAATAAGGCAACTAAAAATTCATCTAAGAGAAGTGGAACATTGAAAAATTTAAGTCTGTACCTAGTAATTAACTTAAACTCCTGAAGTTCAATGTGAAAAATTATTTTAAATTAACTTATTCAATGCACTTTGACAAGCTTGCAGATTACATACTATTTTATTCTGATAACATGGGATACTGATCCCTTGAATCCTAATATTTGCTAATTTTTATTAGGTGGAATGAGCAGATTTTTTTTTTTTTTTTTGGCTAACAATGAATGTTTTAAGAAATGTTTTCTAATATGTAGTAAGAAAAAATTTAAGTTCCCAAAATTCACTGATTAAACCTGAAATATGCTTTATAGGCCTTAAAAGAAAAAGTGTGTGCAGCTTGTAGTTCACATCAGAAGACTGATAAACTCGTTGCTCTGTTTGTAGAGCATAGGTTCTAACAGCAGGGCTATTCCAGACTGGGATAGAGGTCTGTCCTAAAAGGGCTTGAGGTGCAATTTGCAAGATGTGATTTTAGGACCATACCGAAATTGCATCTGACTGTTGGGTGACTCCCTTTCTTTTTTGAACTCTGCATGCACCTGTAATTAAAAAAAGAAAGAAAGGAAAAGAAGGAAAGAAAGAAAGAAAAAAAAGAGAAAGCAAGCAACCCATTGTAGAGTTACATTGAAAGCTGGCGGTAGTTTCCTTAATCAATTGTATTAAGTCGCAGTCATTTTCGGATCATTTGCACCCATGTTCGTTAGTGAATGCCATTTCCCTATGGGGATAGATGCCAGATTCTTTTTTCTTTCTGTGTCTTTTTCCTTCTCCGTTTTCTTTTTCCTTTTACCCCATTCCCTGCCTTGCCCTCCTCTCCCTCCCTCCTCCTCCTCCTC